GAAGGTTGCGCATCTACCTTGAAGATGGCTCAAGGCAAACAGGTATTTGTATGATTTTTATACTTCTAGATTGTTGGATTAAATCAACAAACTTGATTGTTAAAATGCATAATTGTGAAAAAGACATACCGAATTTTGGTATCCCATCTTTTCACTAGCTTCAATTGATCGTTAGAGGTATCATTAGTTCAACTTGTTTTTTCACCTTAATGTACAAACACTTTCAAGTTTTTGATTATTTTGGCAATCGAAAAAGCTTAAAGCATACAAATACCATTCGTCGTATAGTTTTAAAAAGTTGGATTAATAAACAAACTTGAATGTTACATACATAATTGTGAAAACCGGCCGAATTTTGATATCCCATCTTTTGAAGTATCAATTGATCGTTAGAGGTATCATAAGTTCAACTTGATTTTTCACTTTGATGTAAGTTTAGCATTCAAATTTGTGATTAATTTAATATTTTTTATTATATTGTTGTAATATTTAAAAATCTTGAATGCAAATAATGTATTTGACTATGATGTATTTTTTCGTTTACAATTCAGAATCACGAATTTGAAATTTAATCGATTTGGACAAAGTGTTTGAACCACAAATTTTCTCAATCTTGAGCATCTTGTTATATATATATAAAGGAATGCAATTTTTATATTTGGAAAAATGCTCAAACTAATTATTTTTTACAAAAGAATAGCTGAACTACTAAAATTGCAAAAAACAATCCTTCATTAAAAATCTACATGGGTTTTGGGCAAAGAGAAACATAATTAAATTTGTCCCATTTAATAGGCCCAATAGTGGGTCTAACGAGGCCATTTCGTACGTCGGGAGGTTTTTTTTAATAACCAAAACGCAGCGATTCGGTTTAAACATTAGGTCTGAACCGACCGGTTATAAGAAAATCGAACAGGTGAGTTGGCTAAAAAAATTGGGGGTAATTAAAGGTGCTTCACGTGGGCACATTGGGATGTCACTCATGTGAGCACTCGTTGATGATATGCTCGTAATCATTTCACAAATTTATTTTTTTACATCATAGATTCTAAGATTCATAATCATTTATTACAAAAAATGCCACTTTTTGTGTGCATATTTACAAAAATACCATTTACGGATATATATTTACAAAATACCACT